AGTGACCCAGCATCAAGGCTAAGTTCTCCCTGAATGCCCTGGAGTTAAGGAGATCAGAGGTGAGAAGCCAAACAAGGTGTACTTCTCAGGCGAGTTGGGTGTCAGTAGTGACTAAGAGCAGAGAGCAGGCAGACCAGGGTGTGCTTCTCCCAGCAATCATTTCTTCAACCTTTTGAAAACCACTAACTGCAGGGGTAGGTAGGAACAGTAGTCCCTCCAGGCTGTGTTTCCTCTGTGTGAATTTGATGGAGGGAGGGCGGAAAGAGCCAAAGGCATGTATATTTTTGGAGTGAGAACAGTCGGGTGACTAAATGCGGGGGATGACAGGATCAGAACATGGGAGGGGTATGGGAGCAACAACTTCCTCACCTCTTGACAAGGCAAGGAAGATCTGACCATCTCTTCAACCCTCAGCTCCTCAGTTACCTAGGTCTCAATAAAGTAGAAACTAATTGAAAGTGTCATGGGCTGCCCATAGAACCAACAGATCTGTGTGGGAAGAAGTGCAGCCAGAGCGCTCCTTGGAGGCCAGGATGGCCAAACTTCATCTCATAATTTGGACATGTTGTCAGGAGTGATCAGTCTCTGGAGAAGGATATCGTGTTTGGTCAGGTGGAGGGTCAGACAAAAAGAGGAAACCCCCAGGGAGATGGATTGGCAAAGTGGCAGCATCAGTGGGCTCAAGCATGGCAACAATTGTGAGGTTGGCCCTGGACCCGGCAGTGTTTCCTTCTGTTGGGCATAGTGTCGCTATGAGTCGGTACCAACTCGATGGCACCTAACAACAACAACAACAATCCAGAGGAAGGTGTACAAAACAGTCATTAAATCACAGAAGGTGCCCACAGCAGTCAGCCAAGACTTCGGGACATTAAATACGTGCTTTTCCGTAGTAAAACAAGACAGAATTGTTTTGTCTTTATTTTATTTACTTATTTATTTTTATCTATAAACATATTATTTTATTATAAGATGATTCGGAAAGAGAATAAGTAATAGATCATTTATATTAAGTGGGCAAGGTTAGACAACTGGGATCTCTTTGTGGGCAATTCTCAGATCATGTCAAAAGCATGCGGATTTGGGCATTGCAGAGGCTGTAATCAATAGAATCAACATTTTCCGTGCGTTAAAAATGAAGATAATGCAATTAATTAGGCGTTTTGTTTTTTCTTTCCTACTACTTAAATCCTTCTCCACACAAATGAAAATAACATTATTCTTTATTTCCTCAATATGAAAGCAATGCATATTGATTTTAAAAACCCACAAATATAAATGTTCAAGAATAAAGACGCTGATTTCTATTCGTATATCCTCGTCTGAGATCCTGTCCCACCCGCTCCATTCCTTACTGGGTGCAGGGGAAATGCTGGACCTTCAAGGCTGAGGGAAGGGGATGTGAAGGGATGGTTAGGTGGCTTTACAGGGAGCGCAGAAGAGAGAAAAAAATTTACTCTTCAAAAATGCAGAAAAGACCAATGGCCAAGGGAGCTAAATGCAGCTTCTTTCGGTCAACCAAAGAAAGAACAAATTCCAACCACAAGGAGAAGGGGCTACTTCTGGTCTTTGGGATAGGCAAAGAAGAAAGTGAATAGCAGGACTTGATGTGGCTGAGAAGGGAAGGCGAGGGCTGACTCCTGCTGCACTGCTGGTGGGAGTGGTAATTGGGGTCCTGAGCTCACTGGTGACGTGAACCTCACGTGAGCAGAAGCCAGCGAGTGCATATGTCCTTCTAATCCTGGGCTTCGTTTGGTTCTGTTGCCATCTCCCTATTGCCTTGAGGGTTGGCGGGCCTGTCAGGGGAAAGAGGAGGTTTCTGCCCCCATCTCAGAAGGTCTGTGTGTGAATGGGCTCTGTCTCGGGACCCCTGCGGTGCGGGTAGTGAAGGGTGGAGACTGAAGGGGACAAGGCCTGCATTCTCTTCTTCATTGCACTATACGGAGCCCTTAGTAAAATAACAGTTGTGGACCTTAGGGGTCAGATTTGAAGGGAGACTTCACATCCAGAGAGGAAAAACCTTTGACATCCAAGAAAGATCTTCGTCCATACACTAACCATGATTTTGTGGCTGTGCATCGGTCTGACTGTCACTACCCTTGTCTTTCAGTAGGGCGCTGAATCACTAGGAATAAGGGAATAAAGAATCTGCCCCAAATCCTTATAGGTCAGTGTAAAGGTGGAATTGCCCTGCCACCCCTAGGAGGGCGGGAACGGCTGAGGTCCCTGTCTAACTTGGGACAGGGACCCTATTCTTGACTTTACAACAATCCCCTTTCCATTTTATACAGGAAAAGGAATGTAGCATTGCTCACAGGAAAAACGGCTATTATTCGGGTGGAGAATAGGATGGGGAGGGGAACTGAAGCGATTGTTTGGTTTCCTTCCCAGCTACTCTGGTTTTCCAGACTCCCTCGCCCCGCCTCCCTCAGTGTTTGGAAAGGGGTGTGGTTTTTGCTGGGAAAATGGCCGACCCGCTGGGGGTAGGATGGAGTGGGGGTGAGGGGGAGGTATTGGGACTCTCAAGTTCTGTTCTCAGAGTCATCCGTTTCCGCTGTGACGCCTGCCTGTGTCTGTGAATCTGAAGGGCAATCCGTAGGGTGAGGCAGAAGCCTAGCAGCAAGAAGAGAAAATTGCCCAGAAACAAGTAAGTGAGTGTGAGGATGGTGGTTTTGGACTTCTGGGGTTGTTGTTGTTGTTAAGTGTCATTGAGTCGGTTCCGACCCATAGCGACCCTGTATAGGGTTTCCGAGGAGCAGCTGGTGAGCTTGAACCACCGACCTTGGAGTTCAAAAGGCTTTGCAGTCTGGCGCATTAACCCACAGCGCCATGCCAGGGGTGTAGAGACTGCAAAATCTTGGGGGCTGTGGAGTTCCTCTGTCTCTCCCCTTCAGTCTTTTCTTTCTATACACCGTTTCGGAGCTTGGAGAGTAAAGGGTTGTGCAGGTACAAGGCAGGGGAGAAAGTGGCTGGAAGGAGATGCCTCAGGTGGAGGTCGGGAGGACATTGTTCCGAATAGTAGGAGCAGAGTGTCCTTGATTTTGGTCCACCCACCAAGCACTTAATTTCAGAATTGTCAGTCCTTAGGTTTGGTGGAGGTGGGAACTGACGACAGGGAAGGACATAGTTTTGGAGTAGTGGATATTTGTATAGTGGGGTAACTTTTACGCATTTTACGCCTCTCAGGCGTCCAGAAACTCTCACCCAGCCATCCTAAATTTTGTTACAAGGAAGGAGGTGTGGCGTCATCTTAGGAGGAAGTAGCTGACCCAGAGCAGAGTGGGGGAGGGTTAGAGGAAAGGATGGAAGTAGGCGGGAAAGGGAGAGAATGAGTTTCGAAACAGTGGCTCGGAGAGTAACTGAAGGTGTGAAATATTGAGCAAGGCAGGAGGAGGACCTGGAATTCAGGAGAGGGAAGTGTGCCCTTACTCGGGTGAGGTCCATCTTTCCCCCAAATGCTCAGCTGTCCTTTCTTCACTCCCTTGTCTGCAGGTTTACAGGACACTGTGCACTTTGCGACAAGAAAGAAGACGCTACAGGATCAGTGCGCGGGTGTGTGTGAGAGTGCCATTGTCCCAGGATATCTGGAAGGGTTAGGGTGGTAGGGAATTAATTGTTACTGTTTGGAGCTCTTGAGTCAATTTCACCTCCCCATGTGACAGAGTGGAACTGCCCTATAGGATTTCCTAGGCTGTAATCTTCATGGGCAAGGAGCTCTGGTAGCGTAGTGGTTACGAATTGGGCTGCGAACCTTAAGATCAGTGGTTTGAAACTACCAGCCGCTCCGCGGGAGAAAGATGAGGGTTTCTACTCCCGTGAAGATTTACACCCTCGGAAACCCTGTACAGGGTCGCTATGGGTAGGAACCGACTCGACGGCACTTAACAACAACAACAACAATCTTCATGGGCAGCAGATCGCCAGCTCTTTTCTCGCAAGGAGCCACTTCTTGTTGTTAAATGCAGTCGAGTGGGATAGCAACCCTTTATAGGGTTTCTGAGGAGTGCCTTGTGGGTTATCAGTCCAGTGTTTATCCTATAGCACCACACAAGGGTGAGTTTAATTCTCCAGTCTTTCAGTTAGCCAGACACTTAAGAATTGTGTAACCAGGGCTCCATAGCGACCCTATAAGACGGGGTAGAATTGTCCCATAGGTTTCCAAGACTGTAATATTTATGGGAGCATAATGCCACATCTTTCTCCTGTGGAGTAACTTTGGTTAGCATCCAAGCACTTTAACCACTAGAGCTGCAAGGAATAGATTAAACCAAACCAAATTCACTGCTATCGAGTGGATTCTAACTCATAGCCTACATAGGACAGAGTAGAAGTGCTCCTTAAGGGTTCTAAAACTGTAAATCTGTACAGGAGCAGACAGAGTCATTGTTCTCCCTTGGAGTTGGCTGGTGGGTTTGAACTGCCAACCAATGCTTAGACCACCAGGGCTCCTTGAGAATAGATTAAGAAAATAAAACCCACTGACATCAAGTCAATTCCAATTTGTAACCGATAGGGTTTCTAAGACTAAATCTTTATGGAAGTGAACAATCAAATCTTTCTCCCAATGAGGAACTGGTGGGTTTGAACTGCTGACTGTTTGGTTAGCAGTCCAGTACTTTTCTATAGCCCTACCAAGGGAACTTTAAATTTAGATATAGAAAATTTAACACATTGGGGTGGGGTAAAAGAAAGGGAATTTGGAGACTCTGGAGGTGGGGAACTTTTCAAAATTAGCTCCTGAGGAAAGAATCAGGTGGTCTAGATACCAAATTCTGAACCCCTACCACGTCCATTGCTTTGTTGGTCTGTGGTTCAGACTGCATGCGAAGAAAAATGGAGGAGTTTCTGAACCTTCTTCCCTTTATTTCTAGGTCCTAGTTTGTCTGAAGCTGCAACAGAGCCTGCCAGCAGTAGTTGAAGACATCCGCTCCTGACTCTGCTGGGCCAGAGTGAGCCCATTTAACCTGAATCTGGGTTCAAAGATTCTCCCCAGCTGTACAATGGGCCGCACTCGGGATGCTGGCTGTGTGGCTGCTGGGGTGGTTATTGGGGCTGGTGCCTGCTACTGTGTATACAGACTGACCTGGGGAAGAGATGAGAGCGAGAAAAACTGGGATGATGAGGACTCTAGTGATGGGGCAGAGACTGAGGTGGAGACTGAGAAAAGAGCACAGGCTAACCCTGGGGCAGTGGCTACAGTCAGAGTTGAGGCTGACTCAGTGGCCAAGGATAAGGTTGACTTGGAAATTAAAAGTGGTACCGAATTAAAAGTGGAGGCCCATTTGAGGGTCCAGAATGGGGGTGGCCTAGAGGCCAAGGCCAAGGCTCTTTTCAGCACCTTGAAAGAACAAGCAAGTGCAAAGATGGGCAGAGGAGGCAGGGTGGGTATCAACTCTGGAACCAGGACACTTGCACCGAGTTTACCCTGCCCAGGAGGTAGGGGTGGAGGCTGCCACCCCACCAGAGCTAGAGGTGGGAGCAAAGCAAGTGGAAAACCCAAGGGAAAGCCAAAAAGCAAGAGCACTAAGCCTCCAGTTGCAGCATGGCCTGCCCGCAGGGTTAAGTTCAACTTTCCCTATAAAATTGATGATATTTTGGGTGCTACAGACCTTCAAAAAGTCCTTAATATCCTGGAGAGATCAAATGATCCTTTTATTCAAGAGGTATCTTTGGTCACTCTGGGTAATAATGCAGCATATACATTTAACCAAAATGCCATTCGTGAATTGGGTGGTGTTCCAATTATTGCTAAAATGATAAAGACAAAAGATCCCATTATTAGGGAAAAAGCTTACAATGCTCTTAATAATTTGAGTGTAATTGCTGAAAATCAGGGCAAGATTAAGACATATATTAGTCAAGTTTGTGACGACACTGTGATCTGTCGTTTGGATTCAGCTGTGCAGATGGCTGGACTAAGACTGCTAACCAACATGACAGTGACTAATCATTACCAACATTTGCTTTCCTATTCTTTTCCAGATTTTTTTGCTTTGTTATTCCTGGGAAATCACTTCACTAAGATACAGATTATGAAGCTAATTATAAACTTTACTGAAAATCCAGCCATGACAAAAGAGCTGCTCGGTAGTAAAGTACCGTCAGAATTGATTTCTCTTTTTAATAAAGAACGAGACAGAGAGATTCTTCTTAATATCCTAACCATATTTGAGAATATAAATGACAACATAAAAAGTGAAGGGTTTGCATCATCCAGGAAAGAATTCAGCAGAAGTTCACTTTTTTTCTTATTCAAAGAATCTGGGGTGTGTGTAAAGAAAATTAAAGCATTAGCAAATCACAATGATCTGGTGGTGAAAGTAAAAGTCTTAAAAGTATTGACCAAACTCTAATTGGGGGTATGTACCAAGCAATTGTAGGATAATTTTTTAGTTTGCATTTAGGAACAATGCATTTTGTAAAGTCTTTGTTTTTCTCCGTGCTCATAGGGCAAAGGAATCTCTTCAGCTGCCATTTTTGGAATAATGAATAGCACAGGTCATCAACAGGGATACTGGTTGTGAAGGTTGGGTTTAGACTGGATCATTTTAAGGATACCAAATGAATATTAGCACTTGTACAAAGGAAGCATTCAATATTGCTACTTAGACTGAGATATTTTTAAACTTTGCTTAAACTAACGTTGAATTAATTATACATCATGGATAAGCTACACTTTTGTATTAGTTTACATTTATTAATCTAAGACTTGTGTTTCCTCAATAAAGTTGCGTGTTTATGCAGCAGAAAAGAAAAAAAAAAAAAAAAAAGAGAGACATCTTCCTTATCTTTGAGTTTATAATCTATTTGGGAAAGTAAGATACATGGAAACAAAAAAGATCACGACCAGGTGCTTCCGTTGGTGCTTAGAGGAGACAGAATCTGCTGTGGGCAGCTGTGCTCAGGGAAGTTTTATAGAGGAAGAGGACACTTAAGTATGCTGGACTTGAAGGCTGGAGTAAACAAGAGTCAGAAGGGTGGTTCAGGAGGGAAGAGTGGTGGGGAAAAAAGCATGGAGATGGGAATTCTGCTCCAGAAAGCATGCTGATCTATATGGGGTGGAAAATGTGGTGAAGGAAATAATAGGAACTGGAATTGACAGTGGGGTTCTCCCCATACATGGAGGATCCTGATTTCTAAGATAAGGAGTCTGAATGCTATCCCATCCACCCTTGAAACTCAGCAAAGCTTTTTGTGGCCAGAAGAGTGACTGTATGAAAGGAAAATGAATGTAGCTGGTCTGGGTGAAGGATGGGTTGTACTGGAGACTGGAAAACCAGAAAGTCACCACTCTAGTCTAGGCATGATAAAGGTGTGAAGTTTCACTGGTGGCTGTGAGGATTGTAAGGGGATGATGCAAGTGAGAGACCCTTAAAGATTCGGTGTTGAAACCTGTTCTGGGGCATACAGAAAAGGACAATTTTATTATCTAGGGAGTATTGGATAGGAAAATGCCTTCTTGTCCAACTGTGGTGCCTATGTAGCTGAATAAGTTTACTACTGTTTTGAAACCCTGAATAATATATATTCATATGAAGAATGGTTTTCAGTGCTTATATCTGATTTCTAAGGTTTGTTTGAGGCAGAACTATTGAGAATGATGTTGGGATTCATACAGAAGATGATCTTCCTCTCTCCTACACCATAGTGTTAGTGAAGGTGTAGAGAGAGGGATACTTTAAAACCGTGCTAGTTGATGGCAGTACACATTGGCACAATGTCCGTTTGGACATGTGTTTTAGAAAACTTCAAGGTGTGCATACGCTTTGACCCAGGTATTCCACTTATAGAAGTGTGGTCTTTGGAAATGATCAAATAATTGGTTTGTAGAAAGCTATGTATCTACATACTATTATTATAATGTTTCCAAAGTATATGAGAAAAGCTTCACTATCCTCACTTCTAAGGAGTAGTCAGGCTCTACTTCTTCCAAAACTGATTTGCTTGTTTTTCTGACAGTCCATTCATTGTATGTTCAATATTCTTCACCAACACCATAATTCAAAGGTTTCAGTTCTTTTCCAGTCCTCCTTATTTATTGTCCATGTTTCACATGGATTGGATGAGGCACACCTTAGTCCTCAAAGTTATGTTTTTGCCTTTGAACACTTTTAAGAGGTCTTTTACAGCAGATTTTCCCAGTGCAATATGTCGTTTGATTTAATGACTGCTGCTTTTATGAGTGTTGATTGTGCATCCAAGGGAAATGAAATCCTTGACAACTTAGTCATGTTTACACAGTGAAGTATTATGTGACTATTGAAAATGATAATGGCCACCTGTACTTGTTTGCATGAAAAAATTCAGCGTGTAGGTTACATGACAATATACACAGTAAATCCCATTTTGAGTGATATAAAATATGTACATGCATTAAAGCTTCTAAAAGGCTGCATGCCATAATAAAGAAAGTAGTTATCCATTTAAACTTGAATATTTAAATTTTTCTCATTTATCTGTAATATATCTTGTTTCTTTGTGTAATTGTTAAAAACTAAAAGAGTTGGAAACTGACTAGGCTGGGAATAAAGGAGATTGGGTGGGGCTTATATGGGTACATTTACAGCATGGGGCAATATTTAGACCAAAAAAGAACTGTGTTAAAATGATAAATGAGTTGTAAAGATGTGGATAATAAAATAACCTATCTTATAGGATTAAATGAGACAGATGCATATAAAGTGGTTACGGTAGTTTTGGAACATAATTAGTAAATTAGTAAAAGTGAATACTAACCAGAGGAAGATCTGGTTGGTCTGAAGTTTGGGGAAACTTGGGAACTCCTGAGCCCATGGACATTGACATACTCACTGGGGGATAGAGCTGAGAGTGAAGCGTCCAGCTGATATGAAGTGGGGGGGGGGGGGGGGCCCACATGAATGCCCAAACTTGCAGATACTACCCATTTGACCTAGCTTGAATAATTTGATGATCAGAACTTGACTAGAGGAAGATAAAGCAGTTTGATATAGGAAGCAAGTGTAAATTACTACAATTTGATTAACTTCACCCTTACTTACAGATGTAGTAGCTCAAAATACCAACCGAGAGGGAAGTAGTCTTCAAATCAAGATTCAAGCCTATCCTCTCAGTACACAGGGTTCATAGGGACAGGCAACTTAGACATTGTTGTTGTTGTTGTTAAGTGCTGTCGAGTCGATTCTGACCCATAGCAACCCTGTATAGGGTTTCTAAGGAGCAGCTGGTGAGCCTGAACCGCCCATCTTGCAGTTCAAACAGCTTTGCAGTCTGGCATATTAACCCACAGTGACAACTTAGACATTAGCTACCTAAAATGGGGTGGAGGGGGCTATTAAGGCACAAAATGTCTGGCTTACTAGTTTTCAAGTGGGAGTTTAGTTTCAGAGCAAATGGGGGAAGGTAGAATCCCCATTGAAGAGTTTTCATATTGTCTAGATGGGTCTGGTGAAAGGATATTGGAATAGGATTCTTTGGATTCAGTCGTGAGTAATTGCTAGTCATGACTAATTGCAATTGTCCCAACTGTAAAGGTAGAAGATCTGTAACAAAAGGGAGGAACATTCCAGTAACAGAGGACCCTAGGTCCATCAAGAGGGAAGAGCATGAGTGGAACATGGGACCCTATCCAGAGAAGCAGCAACACCAGAGATGTTGGCATGGAGAGGTGTTCGTCCAGAGGTGATGGCATGGAGAGAGAGAGCAGCCAAGAACTCTAGACTCGTGGAAAGAGAAAGGTCATGTGCTTGCGGGTAGGAGGCTGGCTTGAAAAATGTGCCCTTTGGTTGTTTAAACAATTATATATTCCTGTGTGTTTTTGTGTACATTAAAAAAAGAGAGAGAGAGAGAATAGTGGCAAATACTGTTAACCAATGGTGCATGGAGGGGATTATAATCATTACAATGAACCAAGATACGATTGGTTGAGTGCAAAACCAATGTTCTGCCATGTAAACTGTCACTGAATTCACAATAAAAGCTCTAAAAAAATTCTGAATACCCTCAGTTCTCTAAAAGACAGGACTGATAATGTTTGGTTGAAATTTGCCCAGTAGGTATCATTCTACCATATACTAGTGGCATTTAATAAATGAACTGTTAAAACAATTCCTCTGATGAATAGAGTCTTTGATGTCTCTAAGAAGTGAACATCCTTCCTTGGATGTGATCTCATTGATTTCTACAACATTCCTGATATCTAGGTGATGATACTTTGGTGTAGACTTGAGAAATAAGCCAGTGTTTCTCAAACTATGGCTGGTAGAATTCTGGGCATATGTGTACATGTTTTTGAGTTTTGCATATTATCAATAAATTTTATTAAATGTTCCATTTTCATTTCACTGAAAATTTAAAGAACTTCATTATAAATATATTCTGGATTTTCAAGTGACACCAGGTGATGTCTTCTTGTTAGGTGCATTCGAGTTGGTTACAACTCACAGCGACATTATGCAAAGCAGAATGAAATACTGACTGGTCCTGAGCCATCCTCACAATCAGTAGGTACACTTTAACCCATCGCTGCTACCATTATGCTAATCCATCTCATCTGGGTCTTCCTCCTTTTCTCTGACCCTCCAATTTACCAAGCATGATGTCTTTTTCCAGATACTGGTCCCTCTTGATAATTCGTCCAAAGTATGAGAGATGAAGTCTGGCCATCCTGGCTTCTAAGGATTTGTTTGTTCTTCTGGCAGTCCATGATACTTTTAATATTTTTCTTCAATACCTTAGCTCAAATGCATCAATTCTTCTACTATCTTCCTTATTCATTGTCTAACCTTCACTTGCATATGAGGCTATTGAAAACGTAACTAAGTTCAGGTACACCTTAGTCATCATACTGACATCTTTACTTTTGAACACTTTGAAGAGGTCTTGTGCAATAGATTTGCATAATACAACATGTTTGATTTCTTGACTGCTGCTTCCATTGAGTGGTGATGGTGGATCCAAGCAAAATGAAGTTTTTGACAACTTCAATCTCTTCTCCACTTAACATGATGCTATTTATTAGTCCAGTTGTAAGGATTTTTGTTTTCTTTACACTGAGGTGGTTTTCATTACATTGAGGTGATCAAAGGCTGTGGTCTTTGATCTTCACCAGTAAGCATTTTAAGTCCTCTTTCCTTTATTCTTCAATATTGCAAGTCAAAGCTTGAATTTTTCTTCAGTTCTTTCAACTTGAGAAATGCTGAACATGTTCTACCTTTTTGGTTTTCTGACTCCAGGTCTTTGTACATTTCATGATAATATATGAATTTGTCTTCTCAAGATGAAAAGAACTGATGAAAAAAATTTCTGTTTACTTCCTCATTTTTTTCATTTACTTTAGCATCTTTAAGCTGGAGAGCAAGTTTCAGAGTCTCTT